GCCAAGTGATTGTTTTAAGGCATCTTCCTGGCTGTCAAGGGTTTAAGCCATAAAAAAAGTTTACCAGCAGCAAAATAAAGTATCTGTAGGTTGTACAGTATTGAATTCTTTCAGGCATTGATGCTATCAAGCTAGCGTTTTAGAATGACACTAGTTTTCCCCCCGTATGTTTGAATAGTATCAAAAATAAGGTTGGGAGGTAGCTAGGTCTACATAAAGAAAATAGCTTTAAGACCGACCATATTATTGTCAATAAGATAAAAAGTTTAGCCACAGAAATGACAATATTTATGGTATCTATAGCCATAAGATTTAAATTTTTCATTCTTAAAGGTCTATTGTGTAATCCTGTCTCAAAGGTTTTTACTTTCTTTCTTAGTTTAAATTAGTACAATTATTAAGACTTGTAACTTATCCAATATAAATTATTTAATTCAGAAAAACCTTTAAGCTTTACAAGAAAACAAAAAAACAAAACCCCTAGTGATCACTTCCTGTATAAACAAGGCCTGTTGCTTGACCACTGGTCATTTAAGGTATCGTCTCCTGTAGGGTGGCCACATAATTTCAAATTAATGTCTTTTAGATAGCTTTCAAGTGAGGTATTGATGGGTCCTTAATGTCATGTTAAAGTGACCCTTCTCAATGATAATGTCACAGGGATATAATGAGTAATGAAATATAGGGATGTTAGAGGAACATACCCTTGCAAACAGAATGTAAAGTAAATGGTGTTTTGTGCTTATAATCACATTTTAGTATTAAGAAAACTGGGAGTAATAGATTAGATGTTGATTTAATCATAAACTGTTCAATATTATTTGCTTTATCAGTGTTTGTGCTATAGATTTTGCTGTAAGGACAGTATATGGCCGAGTGGTTAAGGTGGTTGATTTCAAACCACTAGGCCTTCACCACTGTGGGTTTGAATCCCAACGGGGACTTTGGATTCTTGTATGTGAGGAAGTTATCCAGTCAGCTTATGGCATGTTGGTGGTTCTTCTCCGGTGCCTGTTCATGTCTAAAAAAATTATAATGCATGGAAGGGTACCTGATGTTTTCCTCCACCAGTAAAGCTGGAAAGTTGCCATATGATCATTACTGTGTTAGTGCAACATATCAAAACTTAACCGAAAAATAATTAGGACAGTAAACATCTGTACATGTGTCTGTCTGTGTGAAGAGCTAGGGTGTTTGTGTGGTCCAGCAAAGTAAAGTTTCTTTATGTATAAAATGTATATATACTGTAAAACTTAAAAGCTCAACTGTCTCATGTTCAAAAGCCAAAAAACATAGAATATAGATCTGGTGAGACACATAAAACCGAAAAAACACTTTTCAGTTTTGGGTTGTTCTGCAAAATAGAAATCTATATTCTGGGAGCAAGTGGTCTGAAATGTTGCACACAAATTATTGGTCCTTAAGCTTCATCAAATAGTACATGCATCTCAGAAAAAAAAAAGAATTTCAGTCCCGTCCTGTCAAAAACACTCGGTGGAGTCTCTTTAAGTTTCTTTCTTGAAATCTGAAGTTTATTAAATTATATATTTATTACTAAGTAAACTGTGTACTGTAGTTTAGGGTCCATATAGACTATATAATTATTAGATAAGTTGACATCAATTGACTGTTGAGTGGACAATATGTTATAAGAGCTGATAAGATGCTATAGATGACCATTTATGTAGACATAGATAGGCCGATGATCTGTAACGTGGACGTTGGACAATTGCACCGATGGTCATAGTTCATATGGTTCAAAAATTGATAATTGTTGACACGAGAGTGTTGGAGTAGAGGTGGTGGGGACTGTGGACACAGACACCTTGATTGTGTAGAAGTTGTGACTGTTTTGAAATCTGAGTTAGGGCTAATTTATCCTTGGTCAGAATAACAGATTGTAACCTTGCATATATTTCAAACTAGAAAGATTACCGTAGCTTACAGATTCATAAATATTTAGATATTGTATTTACTATTTCATTGAAAATGTTTGCTCTAAATAAATGTATTAATATTTAAATATCAGATACTAAATACTGATTATACAGGATCATACAGGATAATGAAAAAAAAAATCTAAAACTGTATTTGCTTGTGTCGCTGGATAGCTCTTCAGGCAGCATTTTCAATTTTTCAGATCATATGAAAAACCATTGCAACATTTATATGGAAAACCAACAAAACAGTCACATGAGGACCTAACACAACAGTCATATAGATGAAAAAACCAACACAGTTGTATTATAATGAAACACAACAATGATATGAAAAACCAACAAACAATCTTGTGAGGGGAACCAACACAATTGAACAGACATAATAATTATGAGAAACCAACACAACAATCATATGAGAAACCAACACAACAATCATATGAGAAACTAACACAAAAATCATATGAGAAACTAACACAACAATCATATGAGAAACTAACAACAATCATATGAGAAACTAACACAACAATCATATGAGAAACTAACACAACAATCATATGAGAAACTAACATAACAATCATATGAGAAATTAGCACAACAGTCATATAATGGAACACAACACAGTTGTATGAAATTCCTACACAACAGAAGATTAAAAAATATATTTATTCATGCACAGATAAAGTATATCATATCACATTTGCTGAAGAGACCACCATAAAGGTCATCCTTAAAGGAAATGAGCATTTTTTAAATTGATCTGCATTTAAAATTTCATAAGTTAATATTTAAATATTGCAAGAAGTTATGGGACAATATTTCGCATTGAATAAAATTTGCACAAGGTTAGGTGTATATTTGTTTTTAAGGATTTACAATCGGAAGTTACCTGGCGAGCCATGACCTCAAATTAACTGCGCTATGTTGCAACATGTTGACCAATACCCCTCTAATATATTGTCACCAGAACAAACAAACCTTAATCTCTGGGATTATATCACACTATATTATACCTGTGCATATTTGGCCTTGTTTATTGCAATAGACCTGTGACCAATAACAAATCTCGTTACCGTAAACCGTGTACGATTTGTGAACTAACTGTTTTTCGTGCAAATTTTGATTGTTATTACCAGATGTATCCTGATGAATAAATCAGTGAGGTTTCTGTGTCCATATTTCTAGTTTTAAATTCTTTCATGGATTAACTAGAGCACTTTACAGAAACCTGACCTGTTTCTGTTAATTACTGTTATAAGCAATCACCTGAATACGGTGCACTACCTGTCAACCTGTTGCACTTATTTTCGAAGCTGTAACTGTAAAAGTCTGTTTGTACCTACGGATTAGGTGGGAAAAACCCAAAATATTCTTTATTCCAGAGTATAAGTCTATTCTGGAAAAAGTATTCTCCATGAAGTTCCTAAACTTTAACCTTAATTTGCATTTAATTGAAAAATGAATAGGGAATGGAAAAAAGAATGTTGCTTAAATTTAGAACTCAAATTTTCAACAGAATTTAAATCATATTACAGTTTGTTAGTATTTACAGTAGATGTAAATATTGACCGATTTAATTTAAATTGAATTTTAATCCTAACAATAGTAAATGGCAAGTTGTTGGCTTAGATGTTATTGTGCGAATAACTATTGTTTATTTTTAGTAACATTAAAATATGTTTTTGCCAATATCCAAGTCATTTAGTTTTTCAAGGACTGGTACAATGGATCTGTTAACCGTTGCACCAAACACTACCGGGAAAAGTTGAATGCGTTGTATTAAGTCTTGAATAATGTTATTTATTTTAGGTAAGAAAAAGATGATGCTTTTGATTTTATAAGGAAAATGAAAAACAGTTAAATAATGTTGTTAAATGCATGTAGGAGGAAAAATACCGTATATAAGACAAATTAACAGAGAAAATATCAAACCATCCCCAATTCTTTCTTTGTTTGGCCCAACCCTTTTTGTATATTGCATAAATATGATGTTGTTAACTTGAAGTTTATTTATAAATTTGATAAAATATTATTGAACTAAACTTTCCCTCTCTTGGTTAATATGTTAAAATGAAGCGAACTTTACTTAGTGTTAAGAATATTCAATGGTACAGTCAATGTTTTAACTGACAAACAAGAGTTCAAGGTTAAAGTCAATGTTTAAACTGACAAACAAGAGTTCAAGGTTAAAGTCAATGTTTTAACTGACAAACAAGAGTTCAAGGTTAAAGTCAATGTTTAAACTGACAAACAAGAGGTCAAGGTAAGTCAATTTTTAAACTGACAAACAACAATCAAGAGTTCAAGGTAAGTCAGTTTTTAAACTGACAAAGAGCACAAGGTAAGTCAATGTTTAAACTGACAAACAAGTGGTCAAGGTAAGTTAATTTTTAAACTGACAAATAATAGTTCAAGGTAAGTCAATGTTTAAACTGACAAACAACAATCAAGAGGTCAAGGCAAGTCAGTTTTGAAACTGACAAAGAGCTCAAGGTAAGTCAATGTTTAAACTGACAAACAAGTGGTCAAGGTAAGTTAATTTTTAAACTGACAAATAATAGTTCAAGGTAAGTCAATGTTTAAACTGACAAACAACAATCAAGAGGTCAAGGCAAGTCAGTTTTGAAACTGACAAAGAGCACAAGGTAAGTCAATGTTTAAACTGACAAACAAGAGTTCAAACTGACAAACAAGAGTTCCTGGTAAGTCAATGTTTTAACTGAACACCTGTGTCGCTTACATCATTCGGCTCTTATATCTAATTACCTTAGATTGTGCATTAATTAAAAAGTTGTAAAACATAATGTTGTTGATTTAATTTTAAACAATTTGTTTATTGGTTACTCTAACAGTCCTATTTATAGTTACAAATTCAATGAATTTAAATAGAAAACGAAAGTAGCATGCATTATGGAGTTGATACTGTGTGATAAAACTTTGAAGATCATTGGAAATCATCTGAGTAACCGAGTTATCAATCAGAAAAATTACCAGGTACTTGGGTGTAAGTTTTGGTATTCTTTGCCATCCCTATCTTAAAATAAAAATGATTTCTACTTTCAGACATTCCGTCAGCCATTGAGTTTGAAGTATGGTTGTCCGTCACAAAGTACCTGGATGCTTGTAATCAACTCGTTACTAACTGTGTTGTCTGTGGGATTGTCGGTAGCGAGGAAACATGGTAGGTTTATTGTTGTTATCCAGATCTCGGTAAATGTTGGTTCAACCAAGCAAATCGCCCCATACAAACAAACTTTTGCTGTTTCAGCTTCATGGTGAACCGTCATTTACAATAGATTAGTCAACTAGCTGCTCTTATTTTCAAAGTTCCCCAGATTTGCTGGGAGAGCCCCAAATTTTCCTACTTTCAGAGTATGTCTTATGGTACACAAGCGAAATAAAAAGAGAATATAAGCAAATCAAGGGAAGTAATCAGTCATTTAACAAAAATTGATTAGTAAGCAAGGGATGTAATCCAGTTTTCAAGAGCATTTGGTTGTTTATGTTTCATTACTGAGTGGTAATACTTATTGACTAAAATTTTGAAGAATTTCTGTATGTTGAATGGCAGAATGTTTACAAAGGAAGTAATATGGTGACTGGCAGATTTGTAATCAAGGGACATAACTTGGTATGTTGTAGGGTTTCAATCTCCACACAGTGATCTCCCCTTAATTCTTCGGCGTAGATCTCTGCCACCAAGGTCCCGATATATCAGAATTTCTGATATACTATATTTTTTCAAAAATCGTTTTATCTACTGCTTTTATCAATCAGATAAGTTTTCTCTCATTTATTTAACAATGTTTATGAATAAATAAATAAATAATATGAATATTTGGAAATAATTTTAAAAATTATGAGATTATTTTCTACCGAGACGATATTTTGATATTTTATATTTTTTAGCTTTTGAATTTATTTTTCGTTATTTTGTATACTTTCGATAATTTTTTGATAAACTATATCGAACGTAAGCACTAAAAGTTAAAAATAAAACAGAAAGAGAAAAATAACGTTAGATTTTCTTTGTAACGGTCGATATTTACATTTGAATTTCGACGTTACGTCATGTGACTTTCATCATCATGTGACGTCTTTGAAGGCAGTGATTTCAATTCTGCCAAGGGAGGTAATCACTGTGAGGAGTTTGGTAGGGTTTATGATGGGTTGATTTAGAAACAAGGGAAGTAATCTTATTTGTAGCAAGTTGATATTGTACATTGATTTTGAACATGGTAGGAAATTCTGTTTCTCGGAAAGATGCTTTAAAATTCAAGCAAGGTTTTTGAAAAATAAAAAAGTCTGTAATTAAATTACCTGAAATCTTCTTGATAAATTAAATAGAATGGTGAAAACTCAGTTCCTCAGGTTTAAAAAGGAGCTTCACTGAGGTAAAGTAGTCTGAAAGCATTAAATTTCAAAATAAATTCTTTCATAGAACAAGCAAAGTACTGTACTTAAAATGGAAATATCTTCAAAGGACAATGAAGAAATACCCACATTTCTCAGCCTGAATTGAGTGAAAAGCATTTTCTTTTCTTTTTGGTATTTTTGCACAATATAAACCAGGGTGAGGGAATGATCTGAAATAGCACACCCAAGTTATTGGTTCAGAACTACATCAAATATTACACAAATCTTAATAAAGTATTTCCAGTACTGTAATGTGAAAAAACCTGAATAGAGTCCCTTGAAGTGGTCTTCAAATCATTTGCCTAATTAAGAAAAGAGGCAAAATATTTCTGATGATGTAGCTAGATATGCTTGTAGCAGGTACAATACAGTTTATCGACTTGGTTTTACCATTAGATATGCCAGAAATGTGTAACAGTTGAGCAAGTTGTAGGGTACTGACTGGTTTCCCTTCATCACTTTGGCTGGTAAACATCTTATGATGACATACATCAGTTGTGTAACAGAGAAACATTTTCAATAAAGGTCTCTTTAAATTAAGGGAGGTAAATTTGCATGGTAACATTTGATGCAATACAGGTAGAATGTTTTGTTATGTCCCTTGAGTTAAATAGCTTAGTTTAAAGCATGATGCAGCGTTTCCTCAGGAAAGGCTGATTTTAGTTTTTATTTTGGTAAAATATGCATGATCGATTTATAGTAAGACATAATTATTATACATAATTATTATATACTTTGATTTTTTCAGAAAAGGCATTTCAGTCAATGTGGACAGAGTTAGGAACAACACTGGAAGAGTTCCTGTTCTCAAAAAAGTAAAGTATATTTGTTGAATTAGATATGTATGATTTGTTGAAACAGTTTATTGATCATAACCAGTGTAAATCAGCAACTATGGTCATTTAGTTTAACCCTTAATTTTGTGTAATGGATTTGTCCTGCTTTGAATTTGGACCAGTCTATTTGAAAATTGAGGGATTTCCATATCAAAATACACAAATTGAGCTACCTGTAGTTCTGAGGCTTGCTAAACTTCACAGATGTGTACTAGGCTATGAATTGAAAAAAATAATGCATCAAGTGCATCCAATAACTTCCGTCTACTTTCGTTTTCCAATGAACGGCATATTATATTCTTCAATCCTGTATTTTTGAAATGTTTTCAACACATTTCGGCATCTTTTTGACAAAATTTGACATAATATTCATTCCTGTCAAATGTACATTCTTTTAATTGTCCATTTGACCATTTTTCTATTCTTTTCATGTTGTATGCTATCCAATGTTATTGACGTAATGGCGTGCACCAAGTTTAGCAAAGGCTATAAACTTTAGTTCCAGCATGTTAAAGGTGAAAGGAACATACCTCTAGATGAAGGCCCATTCCTACCATACAAAATATACTTAACATTGGCACCTACTTAATGGGGGGTGGGGGGGGGGAGAGAAAAAAACAAGATAAAACTGGTATTAAAAACAAGGGTTTATGTTATTACTGTTATACACTGATTGTGTAAAGTGCTACATAAGCTGTCACTATTCACAATAACAAACAAACATTGATATATGTGTGAAATTGAAATAGTATTTCATTTTCTAAGATGGATAAATAAACCTTACTTATGAAGAACTGGTCTATGATGTCTCCAGTGTTAAAGCAAAGTCACACTTTGACTGAATACTTTAATATATATTTTTTTTTTAACTGGGATGTGGTTTTCTGATGAAGGTTGAAATGTCATATTGATACCGTAGTGAAGTGGCAGGTAAATCCTATTTAATTTCAATAATAGTTAACCCATAACTGCACTAATGGGAAGATATCATCAAATGACAAAAACAAAGTTAAAACTTTGCAGTCCTTGATTGTTTTGTAAAGGTCTTGAAAAACTTTTGAATTTTGATATGGAAAATATTATGGAAAATTCTTCTGATTAAAAACCTCAAGAAATTAACAGAATAATCTTGAATTTGAAATTTCAATTGAAATCCTTGAAATTCTTAAAAAAAAATGGAAAATTTGTATGAACCATGTTTAACTTTTATAATATTATATAATAATTATAATAATATTATTTTTAATTTATAATATTGATTTCAAACATATACATGTATATAAAATTTGGAAATTTACAATAAAATGTTAACTAAACTTTTAAATATGGACTATATGATCCATTTCTAAAAGTTTGTTCGGGGAGAATTCCTTAATGATTTACCTGCTGACTTTCCATAACAGATTCGCCCTACTTTTAATTTGAAACCTTGTGACTGAAAGGTCGCTGTTAAGGGTTGAGGGTTTGAGGCATCAGAATTGCAGCCACTGTTTATCCCTATGTGTTCAGAAGTGGCAGCTCAATGGGTTTAAATTACTGGAGTCTGGCACCTCTTAGCTCCAGCAGGTGAGGTTGTTTTGAACCCTGTTGTTGCTTTAAGGTTTGTAACAGCCAAGGTTAGCCAAAGTCATCATTCCTGTTTCGGCGCCATATGATCTAAATTGCGTCGATGAGCCTTAAAACTAAACAAATAACAAAACAAAAAACAGGAACAATCAATTCAAAGTGATCAGAGACTTCAGCATCAAAATATTTGAAATAGAGCTACAAACACTATAGAACTGGGTCAGACTACAAGGTTGTGCAGGCTAGCCTGGCTCTATACCGGCGGCAAATGCCAAATGCTTTTTGTTCAAGCAGTGTTTTATTGACTATCTTATTTGATTTTACAGCCCCACGCCACCTACGTTGTCTATAGAAGACTTTCAAAGAGATGAGGCCTTGGATTGTAAGGTAAAAACTGTGTTTCTATTAAAGTCTCTTAATTATAGTTATTTTCTATAGTTAATGTCATGTTACCAATATTATAAATATCACATTTTTTACAGTAAATGTCACTGTTCATTGATTTAGGAAAAAAACGCTATAACTAATGATGTCATTCTTGTAACATATAAATTATACAAACAAAGAAAACAACAACATATTTATAGCTTTGAGAAAGAAGATTTATCATTTTTCGTTTATTGTTCGAATAGGGATGGCAAAAACTATCAATAACAGTACTCTTCCTATCAAGAACTTGTTTACTAAGAAGATTTCTTAGAAATTTTTAAGTTTAAACCATATTCTATAGATTTTAAAAATACCTTTCAATTCTCTGTCAACCTGTTATGAGATCGAAGACAGCTATTTATAGTTACAACAAAGACCGCCCTCCTTTTCTATTTTGTTAAATGGTCAATGCAAGGAATGTATCTTGAAAATATAACATTTATTTGTGTGTAATTAATTACTTAATATCATATTATTAAAGGCAATAAGCCCATAAGCAGTTTTAATGTCAAGTACCCCATAACACATTTAAAGACGTTTTCGGGAGTTTTCATATAATTGGGGACACCGTTCTCGTTTTTAAGAAGTAGCCACTTTTTCTTTAACATTCGGACTGCCAAGATATGATCATAGACTGATATATTAAAATCAGCATAATAACATACCAAACAAACAAATTTTATTGCGATAATTTGAAATAGGGTTGTCATTGAATATCACAATATCGACATATCATCGATATTCATCATCCAATACAATATTGATACACACTTTCACATATTGATACAAGCTAAAAAAAAAAATTTTATTTCTGTAAGTGTATATACCTCTCTTTTTTCTAGTTTTCTTGGTTAAACCCTGTTTTCAAATGTCAGTGAAAAGAACAACAGAAATAACAAACTTTCTGTTAGTTTCTAGTATTTGTAATGTGTAATACAAGCATGCATAACTCCATGATTCCAATGTATGACACATAAATAAATGGTTTTCATCGTATCTACTGTCAAAGTCGATATATCGTCGATATTTGTCTCTCGATATATTGATACAAAAAACTTTCCATCAATGACAGCCCTTGTTTGAAACTTCCAATTTGTTGGACCTGTGGTTCAAAGATTCATAAAAAAAGATTATTATTAATTGAAGTTGGGATGGCAAGTGGTTCAAACTCTCGGTACAGTTTATATATACAAAATGTATATGATATTTACAGGTTGTGTTCTTGATAAGAGATGACATTCTACCATATGCCAACAACATGCCAAAAGAGTTTGTCGAACAGATCATGTCCATTCTTAACAAAGGATCCATACATTCCACATCATCTGACACTTTCATTGGTTAGTGTTTCTCATTCGTTTGGACCAATCAATTTTTGGTCTTACATTTTGATCTATGATATTTTCCTGTTTTTTTCTCCATTGACCAATCAAATTTGGTCAGAGACATTTTCAACTTGATATGACCAATTTTCTCAATAATGATTCTCATTTTGAATTATGTAATCAAAATATGGACTATAATAGGAAAGCATGTTGTTTACTGACCCCTAGATAAACCTTTACAGAAGAAGTCTAGAGATATATTTACAGTACAAATTAATATGATACTGTCTTAGTTATATCCAAACTTTAATAATATTAATTAAAAGAAAACTGACTCTTACTTGGTAATTATCATGACCAAAAAGAGCTTACACTCGCCAACTTTATCATGAAATTGGTTCGTTATATACCACTCCCTGTTGTTGTTTTTTTTTTCTTTCTTTGAAATAGAACTAATTTTTTAATAAATAAAAAACAAATATGAATTGATAAATGTTTTTTGTAATAATTTCAGATACCGATTCTAGTCGAAAACTGAGGGAAGAGTTTGCGAAGACGTGTTTTGAGACATTGTTACAGTTTTCATACATCAACAGATCAAAAACAGACGAGGGTTGTATAACAAAACTGGCGGTAATATCGTTGTTACAGCGTTGTCAGGATGTTGTCAAAAAATACGCAGAAGATGAAAAGTTGAGTGGGAAATGCCCGCTACCAAGGTACGCTACGCAGATGACTACCAAGTATTTCAACCACTGAGCTAATGTGATAATTAAAAATTTAAGATGAAATTAAACCAGGCAGGCAAATCAAATTCCCTATAACAAGTTTAACAATTATCAATTTCTTTGGGAGAAAGGTTTATAGATCCTAAGTGAATAAAAAAGTATGAAAAAAATATTAAAGGCACCCTCAACAGAGCAGGCACCTCTTTTTAACTGTTAACACTTGAATCAATTTACAAAAGCAAAGAAGGAAAATTTAAATTTGAATTTTAAAATTTGAGTTTGAAAATTTCAGACCGAGACTTGCAGAGATGGCTTCAGTGTTGAAAGCTGTTACCACACTGATTGCCTCCCTAAAGAGAGCACCACAGGCTAATGGTAAGTTAACAAAGGACCCTCTCAGCTCTACTTTCACCTAATGTGCAAGGGATGATAACATCTCATGTGTTGGAATTTGGATACTCCATTAGATTTAAGAAAATTTGAATGCCCATTTGGCAAGTTACTATTGAAAATGTCTTAGTTTTGTTATTTTGTCTGCTACTAGCTTACTTCAGATGTGTTGAATTGTTTCGTATAACTGTATCGCAATGCTACCAAGTTAGTGAAAAAGTTAACCAATTTGCTTGTAGAGTGTTAGTGGTTCTACTGAGGTGCCCTCTCATCCCTAAAATATTGTACAGGGGGATGGAGACCCGAGGTCTTCCTCCACGGTAGAGCTGGAATGTGACCACTAAGTTATCCAATTTGCTTGTAGAATGTTAGTGGTTCTACTCAGGTGCCCATTTGTGCTTGAAATATTGTACTAGGGGGGAACCCCGAGGCCTTCTTTCACAAGTTAAGTTGGATTGTCACCATATTATGTTTTGCGTTTGCATGACTAATATAAACCCAACAAACAAACATGATGAACTTATTTATTATATGCATGTATAGTCATACCAGGATAAAATTTATACCCTGGTAACACCCTGATTTCATTTTATATACATGTATATCAAATTTCAGTGGAGGCAAGTGTTTGGAAGCAGGTCATTCATCTTTACCCACACCTTGTAGACTGTACAACGTCACCTTCTCCCAGTGTGTGTAAAGCACTCAGAGATGCTCTCAAAGAATACAAGGAACTCCTTTCCCCACCCACTCTGGTTATGACAAATGGGAGATAACTCTTAGTGACTGCAGCATAAAGCTAAAGGGAGACAATTGAAAATGTGTGCATTGTGTAGAATTATAGTGCTATTTCCTGTCATGGATTAAGTGCTCAACAGCCAAATGACAGTGCATTAATAATCTGATTTTAGGTAATTGACATCGGAATTTTAGACTGTTCAGCAATATTTACACATTGTGTATTTTATTTATTAATTGTACAAAAAAAGAGTTGATGAAATTATGTATGAAAGTAATATGATTCAAGTGATATATAGAATGTAAATGACAGAAATTTAAGAGTAACTTCTCTTAAAATATTAAGCTTATTCATGGGTATGACAAATATACATTTACAGTATAACCTCTACAACATGGCCCTCTTCAGAGCAATTTCCTCTGGACAACAACAGTAATATTTCTCCCCAAAGAAATCATTTATAATAAATTTAACCTCTCTAAAGCAAACACCTCTCAATAGCAACCAAAATCTCTGTCTACCATAGGGTGTTGCCTAACACAGGTTATACTGTATGTATGTCAAAATATAATTATTCTTGTAGAAAATATATAGCATGTCAAACATATTTCTGCAGCAAAAGGTGTAGACAAATTGTATATAATATTTCTGAAAAAATGAAATGTTTGAAATATATTGGAGAATGACCTTCCATCTTTTATAATTGAGAAAACATTGATAAATGGGTTATTAAAATTGTGAACATCTGCAGGTGGGAGGGGCATTTAAACAATTTCTTCAGCGCATAATGGCTTCTTATCTCCTGGGAATTCAACCAAACTTTCAGTTTCACAGAACTATTGTGGTCAAGTACCTTGTTGTTTATTTGCCGGATCATGATTTAATAATTTTATTGATTTTTTCGCCTCTGTATTGTTGATGATCAGAAACTGGATTTTGTGAAAATTTCTTGTCACATGATTTCCTTAAAATAAGTGAATCATTTGGGGTCAGGTTACTTAGTAATTAAACAACATAAATCAATCTGAATCTTTCTAATGGATTTGATCAGGGGTTGTCTGTAGCCAAGTTGTTAATGTCATTGTCTTCAAACTGCTTGCCCCTCACCACCGTGACCATTCATTCTTTAAATTGCATCAGTAAAGCTTAAAACTGAAAACCCAAATATAGATTTGTAAGACCCTAATTTCTTTTACTAGTGTATGGAAAAAAAATCAGAATTACATAACATGTACTGTGTAAACTATAATACCAGTAAATCAGCAGCCCCAGATTTCTGAGCCATAATTCAACTACCGGTAAGTTTGTTATAATGAATGTGTGTTGGGTAAATATGTGGTTATAATCATTTTATCAAATTGTACAGGTATAAATTTGATGTATATACATAGTCAAATTATAACAAAAGGTATCACACTGTTATATATGTGTTATAATCATGTTATATGTACAGATGTAGTTTATTTTACTTCATTTATGTATGTCAGTAAAGGTTGAATTATTTGTACCAGAATTCATAAGGGAATAAAAATTTACAAAATTTAAATTTGGTTTTTGGTCCCTTCATGTGTCCCCCACGGTATACTATGCTTGGATTGATCAGTACTTACTTTCCCTCATATTTGATTAAATAACTTGAGAAAGAATAAACCTTGGTAGAGACAATGCTTATTTCCAGTAGATGACCCCAACTGATTTTGAAGTATTTAGGTCAATGTCACTGTGATCTTGACCGGACCATAATTACTTAACAATAGAGCAACAGAGATTTCATGTGCAGGTGGTCATGATGTGATGATGACCCTATCAATTTTGAGGTAATTAGTTCTGCTATTTTTTCTTTCTCAATAAAATAGTTTACAAAGCCTTTATAAGGTAACAATAATAACTGTCTTAAATATTTAGAGCCAGTCCGCATATCTTATTGGGTTAGAGCTTGATACTTGTAATCTCGACATTCTGGGTTCGATTCCGGGCTGGCCAACTAAAATTACTAATCAGTCTTTTGGATGAGACTTTAAATCGTGTAAGAGTGCTTTAGCACTTGGCACGCTTAAGAACCAGGAGAAGCTTCTGGAATTGGGGCATCTTTCTGTATCTGTGTGATACTGTTCTAGTGGACTCGCCCATACGGCTAATCGTTGGCGAGTATAAATAAACTCAAATACACACAAATGTCTTAAATGCAACATCATTTTATAAACACTCTATCAATATCCATTTGCATTCTTGTATTGTGCTCAGAATGAGATATTAAATGTTTATTTCAATAAGCGTATTATTGTGTGCCAAAAGTCAGAAGGAATATTCTGTTTACATCAAACTTATCAAAACAATGTGCATTCAAATCTGGAATCAAGTCAGATCTTTCGTATAAACTTCATATAAAAAATCTGTGACAATAGTCAGTGGCCAGGAATATTCCTATAAAAACATATGTTAGCGCTAATAGTTCAAGTATAAGTATATAACCTAAATAACATTAAATTCTTGAAAAAAAAAAAGCTGGAATGACTTGTGCATTACAAATCGACAGTCTATAACTACATGCCTCTTGATTTTTGTGCCCCCACTTTGGGGCGGGGGGGGGGGGGCATTTAGATTTACCCTTATCCGTCCATCGTCCGTCCGTTTTCTTTTGTGTCCCACGTAGCTCAAAAAGTATTTGACCCAGAGTCATGAAACTTTACAGGAATGTTGATCAGCATGTGTAGTTGTGCACCTGGTTATTTTTGTGTGGCTTTATTTTGTATTTTTAGAGTTATTGCCCCTGACTTAGTAAAAATTTGCAATTTTCAACTTGTGTCGCATGTAGCTCAAAAAGTATTTAACATATTAGTGCTGCAAATCAGCCCATTTTACTAGCCTATTTAGAGGGGTAACTGGTCTATGTCAGCCAACAGCAAGTTTCATATACCAAAATGTTCGTCTGGATCTGTAGTTTCTGGAATGAATATTCATTTAGCCCAACCCCGATGCGAAGCTAAGATATCCAAGATGGCGTCAAAGATGGCCGCCAAATCCCTAAATTTTCTAGTATATTTACGTTGGCTTATTTCCTTTTTTAGTTTTGTAAATCAATTGAAATTTTTCATAAAATTTCTTATTTTCAACTTACTTATGCTATAAATTTTCACTTTATTGATTTTTTTTCTAGTTTTCATCGACTAATTTAAACGAAAGAAGAAGAAATATGTTGCAAACTGGGTGTCCTCTTCTGAATATGTGTAACTTATTAGTTTTATTCTTGTTTAAACTGAATAACATTCATGATTTCGTTTAATACAGCTTTAAATCTATATCTACACATATTAAGAATAAGTTAGAATAAGAGGACTATGCCATAAATGTGTTTTATTGATCTAAATTTATATACAAAGTGGGTGGGGTATTTTACGAACGGGGAGTCAACTTTAAATTAAATACTTTTTTGTTTTATATTATTATAGTAATATAAAAAGGTTTACAATTTTATTTAATTGGTTAGTGATGAGACATCTTATCTTTCATAGAAAATGCCCTGCATGTGTGTCTAAATGTTGAAATATCTCTTTTATTTGTTTTATGCACACAATAAGGAACTATTTACTGACCTGCAATTCGGTATTTGCTTGCCTTTTGTTAAGGATTTGTTTGCAAGTTTTTTTCTCCTTAGCCATAAACATTCATTGTTAGTCTTCAAATGTGATTTTGATTATACTTGTAGGTCACTGTTCAAGACCAATAAGCTAAGCATTTATTAGGCAATAATAATAATATCTATTTATTAACTTACAGAATTTCTCGGACAACATTTATCTCCACAACCATCATTATTGTAGGTTACTTTCCTCTAACATGTTTTTATTTCAAAGAGTTATACTACTTTATGAATAAGAGAATTTCTTTATTATGCAGACTGTTGATTTTAAATATTCGAGCGTTCTGTCTGACAAGCAGCTCTTGTATTAAGGCATTGGCATAACATGATAATCTACAGTTGAACCATATTTGGAGTTTTGTCATTATTGATGACGGATATAATATATACATTAAAATATAAAATGTAATTTGCTAGAACATTTTAAATGGGTAGGTTATTCAGTTTACAGTAAAAGACTTTATTTGAATTATAAATAAAACATTATATAAATATAAATATATATATATTGAGTGAATTGAAAAAATATATTATGAGGTCAGTTTCTTTTTAGATCAACTATTCGACGATTAAGGACAACTATCCTAGTCGCCCGAGCGTCGGCGTTAAAGTTTGCGTACCATCTCAAAGTCCATTGACATATGGCTTGAAACTTGCACACTTGTTTACCATCATGCCCTCCACTTTCAACACTGGAGGAGGTCTATCAAGCATTTTGTCAGAACTATGCCCCTTTTCCCAACTTTGAATTTACATTACCACCTCAGATAATTTCAAAATTCCATCGACATATCGCTTTGAGACCTTGCACACTTGTTCACCATCATAATCTCAACCTGTGTACAGAGGTCACTGTATCAAGTTTTTTTTACAAAAGTATGTCCCATTTATTACTATCAAGCACTGAGAATAGTCGAGCACGCTGTCCTGCTGACTGCTCTTGTAATTTTCAGCATTTGGTTTTAAATTTGTTAACTTCATGGGAGGAATTAAGAAGAGCTTTCAATTGGACGAAAATAGCTTATCTTTTCCCTGGCGGGTACTTGATAGTAATACTATGTGCTAGGGGGCAAAGAGTAACATGCACTTTCCAGTACCGTCCATGAACATGCGCGATCAAACCGAGTCTGCAACAGCAGGTTAACAGTGTTATATTTATAGGTCCTTCGGGATGGTGGTGTTGGTGTCGTTAGTTTTCAATCCGGATCACGGCAGTAACCATATTGAATTTACCAGAGCACAGTTCAGCCACCAAATCGTTCCTTGACAGGCTGTCAAACAGTTTACCAGTTCTAGTTGCCCTCACTTTCGCAAGAAACTGAAACTTCTGTACATAGCAGAGCAGTGATACAGTGCGAATAACCGTAGAAACTACATGTATTTCATGATCAATCACAACGAAAGTGACCTGCCCCGCCCGGGAATCAAACACGGGTTGCCCGATTCACAGTCCAACGCTCTACCTATTGAGCTAACCGGACGACTTGGTCCTTCGGGATCATTGATCGCAAAACTTTTATAGTTGAGGATTGGATACTACTTAGTCGGTACTAAGAGACGTGAGATATGGTCTCTCGTGAACAGACCCCATCAAACTGAGTTTGAATGATCAACTTTGCCATGTTTAATTGCTCTCAAAGGATCTTCTCTTTTCCTGATTTTCACAATCATAATGCCAAACAGTTTACTTTATTTACTTTTATATTGTTACTAGAGGTATTTTATGTTAAGTATCTCTACTATTTCACAACCGGAAGCTATACGTTGCATAAATAGCACATACCGCTACCTAGATGATATCCTTAACATGAATAATCAAGTGAAATCTAAAATATATCTGAAAATAAAATGAATAAAACAAACTCTTAATATTTTCAAATTTAAACATTTTTATCATAAACAATAACATAGTAACTAAAATCTATGATAATTGTTTGTTTTTTTTTAAAAATAACGTTGTTTACTGTTCACATGTACTTCATGCAACATCATATTGGGTATATATATTTCTAAGTTAATTAGATTTGCCTGGGCCTGCTGTCGTGTGGATAATTCTAATGAACGCAATTTATTTATTACTGGTAAACTTCTTTAACAAAATATGATAAACAAGATCAACAAGGAAAGGCGGCGTTCAATGAACGCAACCCCCATATGACCCAGCCCCAAGAACCAGTGGCAAGGGCCCCAGGCGGACCCTAAGGCTATCATAAATTACGTAAATATTTTACAAAGTCCTGTCGTCGTAATTCAGATAATATATAAAATTTAATTGTACTTTAAATCCTTGAAGGTCGTTCAGCACGACATTATAGCTGTGTATACATGTTATGTGGTACTTTCAGTTTTTTCTATTTGGCCTTTTTCAACTTGTTTCCAAGTTTTTCTTTGTTTCCAGAATTTTGGGTGGTTCCAGTACTGTATAATCACCCTTAGGATATGTTGCCTGCTTTTTAAATTTGTCTTTTGACGTCATATCTGTGATATGCGGGCTTCATAACCTCTGATCCCTTTTCAAAATTCAATTTTATTTAGTTCCGCCCATTGTTTTCTCGTTTAGGGTACAAGCATTCTTTTACTTAGGGACCATACGCCGCTTTTCATGGAATGGCACTACTGTGTCACATTGAAGGTTCCATGATAACCGCCGTATGAACACGTCTGCGGATGTTTCTAAATTCAAAATTTCACCTTTTACACATTTTAAATGTTGAATTCTGCTTAAGCCGGTGCTAGAGGGCGTGGACGGTAACTTGCACTTTCCAGTACCATCTATGAACAGGCTCAATCAAACCGAGCCTGCAACATTTTCAATTTGTTGTGTTGGACTTTGTTAAGGGATTCTGTTTTTTCTCTATTTTATTCCTTTACGTCTAGGTATATGCAGGTCTGATTTATGTGGAGAT